TCCAAGCCCAGACCCCGAGGCTGAAGGAGGCCTCAGGCAGCGGCCTCCCCATCGCATGTGGGGCTTGCCCAGCTTTGTTTACACACCCCCGGTGTGGGGAGCTCACCCCAAATCTCAAGTGTCCTGCGGAGACGCAATGCAGGAGCCGCCCTGACCACGCCCCCTCACCTGCCAGCCCCTCCCTCCGGCTTGAGGCCCAGGGCCCGGCACCACAGTCCCGGGGTAGCTGCCGGGTCTGCCAGGTCAGCTGTGTCAACGAGCTCCTGGGCTTTGCAAGGTCGCTCCATAGACTGCGACCCACTTGCTAGAGATCCCCCTCTTGACCAATGGGGTTGAGTAACCAGATGGGGCCCCTCTGCCCCCAGGCCCAGCCCCGCAGGCTCCGAGCCTCTCCAGAGTACATGGGACATGTAGGGACAACAGGTGAGCCCCCTGCCCCGGCCGTTCACCCTCACCCCCACCGCCATCCCTGACCCTGCAGGTTCCAAGCCCCGCAGGGTGCGTGGGACCCATCTGGCAGCAGACTCACCCTCACCCAGCGCATAGCGGATGCGCGCGTCCCAGGCGCACATGGCCTCGCGGCTGTCGAAGCCCAGCATGACGGCCTGGGAGCGGCAGATGATGGCCAGCGTGTGGGTCAGGCCCTCGTAGGGCAGGCCAGGCTCCAGGCCGCAGATGTCCTCCAGGGTCAGGCTGCTGCGCCCCCGCAGGCCCTTGGCACGCTCCGCCCTGTCCTTGAACACCAGCATCAGCAGGCAGTCTGCGGGCGGGCAAGAGTGGGGGCCAAGCTTCGACCTGGGGCTGCTGTGTCCAGGGTGAAAGTGGCCAGCAGCCGGCCCCACCACCTGGGACCTCACAGGCAGCAAGGGCCTACGGCAAGTTCCCTGCAGTGCCTGGCCAGGGCTGGGTCCTGGGCCCTACCTGAGGGTCCTGCCCACCCAGGCTAGACTCAGGGCCCTGTGGTCAGCAGCACGGGGTCTTGGCTAAGAGCCTGTCTGGTGGCTCGGACCTCCCACCCCAGCCCTACCACACCGAGCCCCCGCACCTCCCACTTCTCTTCGTTCCAGGCCTGTGGCCAGAGGAGAGGGTTCCCATGGCCAGACCCTGACACAAGGGGCCCTTCCCTCCTCCCAGGTAACCATCAGCCTCCTTCAGCAACCTCTCAGTCCCACTAGGGCAGGGCGGGGGGCCTGGGTCTTGCCTCCTGGACCCTGCAGGGCTGAGTTGGCCTTGCACCCCAATTTCCCATTTTCTATCCCCATCACAACTGCCACCTAACCTGGCAAGGAGTCCCAGATGCAGCCAGCACTCAGTCCAGCAGCTTCACAGAACCAACACACACACACACACACACACACGAAGTGAGCTCATGAGGATCTGGTTACAAGCCAAGAACACCAAGAAGCACCCAGGGCTGCTGGGGAGGAGGGACCCCACCCAGAGCCACCCCCAGATCTGGACTCTGGCCTTCGGAACCGAGACGATGACTCCTGCGGCGTTTGTGGTACGGCAGCCACAGATTAGGGCACACGCTCGCACGTGATGTTCAGCCCTGTGCATGTCTGCACCACCAGGTGGCCACGTTGCCCGCTAACATCTGCCATGGCTGGTCCCAGCCCGGCCAAACCGCCATCCCTAAGGGGATCGGGCCAACCTCGCCACCACATTTGGCTCCTCTCGACCTCAGCCGCCTTGGTGACATTTCAAGCTAAGGGTCCCCACCCTGGGAAGCAGGGACAACGGAGCCCCCAGTGCAGAGACCTTTCCTCAAGCCACGCATCCCACGCCTGGGAAGACTCTGGCTGCCACTTCTTGGAATGTGGCACCATCACCCCCCGACTGCTGCTCCGGGGGCCACGGGGCCCCTAGTCTTCCCTGACCTACAAAAGCCCTCACTGGTCACCTACAGGGGAGCAAGGGGACCTGGAAAACGTGTTGCCCCCTTGCAGGAGGCGTGCAGTGATGTCCCTTCTTTGGCCCACAGAGCCCCCAACACCTGGCCTCTGCCCACATGAGGCCTCTTCCCGCCCCCGGTCTATGTCCCGGTCACAGTGGGCTCCTTCCAAATGAAGGGTCATTGCTTTGGCAGTGGCCTGACCAGGTCAGCATGGCGAGACCACCACCTCCTCTATTCCAAGAGTTTTGTGCCCAATAACATGATCTCAAGCAGCAGTCAAACTTTTTCTATAAAGGACCAAACTTAAAACTCACTGTCGTCAAATTGATTCTACTCACAGCGACCCCTCCTTGGGTTTCCAAGGTGGTATCTCTACAGAAATAGATTGCCCAGTTCTTCCTTCTGAGGAGTGGCTGGTGTGTTTGAACTGCCAGCCTTCTGGTTAGCAGTCAAATGCCTTAGGCACTACGCCACCAGAGTGCCCATAAATGAGTAGACGCTAAATATTCTCAGCTCGGATCTCTGTTCCAACTGCTAAGCTGGGCAGCAGCCATAGATGACTCACGCTAATGAATGGCCTTGGCTCTGTTCCAATAAAACTTTATTGACAAAAATAGGCAGGGGCCAGATTTGGCCCACAGGCTGTGGTATGTATATAGCTCCTAGCCTAGAGCAAGTTTGTGACAATGGCCACACATGTCCTCATGTCTTCCCTACACCTCCCACACCTCCAGACTTTGTGCGACTGGCTTGGGGGGCCGAGGTGCAGGGCCCACATTCATCCTGGGGACCCTTTTCCTGATGCATCTTTGCCACCACGGGTTGCCCAACCCGTGTGGACTCTGCCTATGCCTGCAAATACAGAACCCCACTCTCCCCTCTGAAGGAGCTCTGAGAGCCCATGAGGACCCCCCCACACACACTACTCACATCACCAATGCGTTTTCTAAATATGAGAAGACAGAGTGCAGGACAACACCCTGCCCGGCGGAAGCTGGCCTCAGCCCCAGGTCGCCCCCTGGGCCCTGCTTAAGCTGCCCCGAGCGCAGACGCAGCCCTCCACCCACTGGAGCTGGGAGGTCCCATCGGCAGAGCTGGGCAGCCCATTGTGGGCAGGCTGGCCAGAGGACTGCGGAGCGGCAGCAGGGAGGCAGCCAGCGTGGGACCCCAACAAGTGGCCATGACCGTCCTCTCTCTCGTCGCGTCTGGCAATCACAACCCTGGTTTAAAACTCATCCCGTACTCGTGGCTCTTTAGCTCAGAGCTGCAGCAGCATGGCAGGTGTCGGGGAGAGGAAGTTTCCAGGGCCGGGGCCTGTGGGCAGGCGCCCAGAGAGGAGGGCCACAGCTGGCCCTGGAGGGTGACGCAGGGCTCGTGGGGGAAGGACCGGGGAAGGTGGTGGGTTGTGTGAGAAGCTGGGGTGGAGGGGACTTGGGTCTTCATGAGGAAAAGGGCAAAGGATGAGGTCATAAGTTTATGAGGAAAGGCACACAATACATAAAACAAGTAGTGAGGGCCAACGAGACACCCAGGCACACATCCACACATGTGCACAAGGCACACACATACACATGCTCACACATGTGGGCACAGGTACACACACACATGCACATGGTGCACACAGCCATGCATGCACACACATGCACAGTGCACAGAGCACATGTGCACATAGGTCACAGTGCACACATGTGCACAGAAGTACACACATGTGCACAGAAGTACACAGTACACATCACAAACCTATGTGCACACACATGCACAGACACACATGCACACAACACACACATGCACACATACACATGCACTAGGCAGACAGTGCACACGTGCACACACATATCTGTGCACACAGGCACACAGCACATGCACAGGCACACAGTGCATGCATGCAAACATGCACACACATGGACACAGATACACACCACACACATGCACACAGTGCATGCATGCAAACATGCACACACATGGACACAGATACACACCACACACATGCACACAGTGCATGCATGCAAACATGCACACACATGGACACAGATACACACCACACACATGCACACAGGCATGCATGCACACCCATGTGCACATGGGCACACAGCACACGTGCACATACACACATGCACACATGCACACAGCACATGTGTGAGTGCTGGGGACCCGGTGGACAGCTGACCTGGGAGAGGGGATTAGTCAGACACACCAACAAGCCAAGAAGCACCCAAAGCCCCTTCCAGTGCTGAGCGGGGGATGGGAACGGGCGGTGTGGCAGGAACAAGCTGGTGAGCAAGCGGTTCAGCCCTGGCTGCCAGCTGAAAGGACGGCCGTTTGAACCCACCCACCTGCGGGGCACCCAGAAGAAAGGCCTGGCCACCTGCCTCTGAAAGGTCCTGGCCCTGCAAACCCCAGGAAGCATCCACCCTGACACACGCGCGCCACCGAGTCGGAATCAACCTGGTCACTGGCCAGTGCGGTGGGAGGGGCTGGGTGCAGACTCCCTGGGCTGGGCTCAGAGCAGAGGAAACCACCAACCGAGTCCCAAACCACCAAGCAGCCAGAGCAGCAACCCCATCAGGAATAGCATCGTGGTGGAGGGAACAGCCAGTGCACAGGCCCGGAGGCAGACAGGCAGGGACCCATTGGGTCAGGCCACTGTGAGGAGCACTGGGGTCCAGGTGGAGGTGGGGCCGGGTCAGGCAGAGCCAGGGGAGCAAGGCAAAGGAGCCCCGGAGGGCTTGAAGGAAGGAGGGGGGCCTGGCTCTGTATTCACAGCCCACCCGGCTGCTGTGCCGACGATGGACACGGGGTGAGGTTAGGAGTGTCAGAAGTGCAGTGGGGCTGGGCTGGAGGTAACAAGAAAGCCAAGACACAGCCATTGTGGTAGTCATGGCAACAGAGGAAGCCCCTGCCCTCGGGTAGAAGGGCAGGGCATCCTAGAGGCTGGGATTTGGGGCCGAGGCAAGGAAAAGCCGGGGATGACTTCTTGGAGTCAGGTGGGCAGTGAGGCCGTGGACAGAAGCAGCCTGCTGGTCCCAGCCCCCAGCCCTGGGTGTCCACCTCCCGGATGCCCTCTGGGGGGAGGGACCCACCGGGGGCTGAGGACTGCCCTGGGAGGCCCAGCAGGCACCCAGGGCACCGTAGGCAGGCAGCCGGACACAGGTGCAGGAGAAGTAAAAATAACACGGGGACCGGCACAGGGACGGCACTGACGCCAGGGCTGAGGGCCGGCAGAGGCTCAGGCGAGCCGGGGCGCCTGGCAGGGCGGACATGAAGACGCCACCAAGACAGAGCAGCATGGAGGCGGAGGAGCCGGACCGAGCGCAGCCAGGCGGGGCGGGCTGGGGGCGGAGCAGGCCTGCTCACTGCATGCCACTGGGGGCACGTCATCCAAGGCCAGAAACGGAGGGCACAGGTGACCTTGAGGCCAGTGGCTGGGACTGCAGGGTGAGGCGGGCTGAGGGTGCAGTGGCCGGGGCAGGCGGAGGGACCCACTGCCCCAGGCCAGCCTCCTGGGGCCAGGCTGAGGCCAGGAGAGGACCCTCTGCTCACAGGTGGGCAGGGCCCCCGGCTCTGAATCACGGGCATGGGGGGGCCTCTGCGTAGGATCTAATTCACACTCATGTGTGCTACCTGGCCCAGACGGAGCACCGCCTGCCCCGAGAGGAGCGACACTTGCCAGTAGGCACACCACCTGTAGACAGAAGCACTGCCTACAGCAGAGATGAGTACCACCCACCCCAGAGAGGGGCACAGCCTACCCCCGAGTGGAGTGTCCCCAGCTCCACAGGCGAGCACCACCTTTATAGGAGCACCGCCTGCAGACATGAGCACTTCCTACCACAGCGATGAGCCCCGTCTGCCCAAGACGCAGCACC